TGCAAAGAATATTCTGTTTGATATTAACAATTGTTGAACATTGTTGTTTACGTTTTCTTCGAGGCACGCTGTACTTTACTGTATCATAAAATACTTACTGCTAAGATCATTCGAACTGTATTATTGCGAATTAGCTATTACGATTATCAAAAATGTTGAGATCATCGCGTCGTTGTCCATTTTACCGTGTTATATGATCGTTCGTAATCAGCATCGACACCACGTTTGTTCTCCAGTTATCGGCACCGCTGCATTACCACTATCACTACGACCAACCACCACCACCACTATTCTCTCCCTACCTCCTTACCAGCCACAATCCCTTCACGCGATATCGTCCTAATCGTGATCGTTTTTATTATTATTTCTATCGATTACTATTATCATTATTAATATTATTATTTCTATAATTATTAATATTATTACTATTAGTATGATCATCATGATACCCGAGAACCAATATACGGTTGTAGTTTTATCCGGTTCGAATGGCTCGTCGCACACGCGCGCGGACACGCGGAAACAAATTAGGTAAATCGAGGGACACATGCAGAGGACAAATTACATTTGATTCGTTATTCTCTATTGTACGTAATAATGGTTTTTATTCTAGCTAGTATTTGGAGCGAAAGGGCACATACATAGACACGTACATACACATATGCACACACCATCGAAAATGCGGAAAAAGCGCGTGCGAGCGCGGACGAGTAGGCAGAGAGACGAACACAGACACACGCGAACAAGATATTATATTACATTCGAGAATGATTATGACTGCGTATATAACACAGAACTCTTCCACGGAGCGTCGTAAAAAAACAAAAAAAGTTCATGCGAAAATTATTTTTTGTATCGAATTGCGATGAGAGAAAGGGAGAGAGAGAAAGAAAGCGAGAGAGAGAGAGAGAGAGAGAGAGAGAGAGAGCGAGAGAGAAAGAAAGAATGAAAAAATAGGGAGACTCGCGGCTCCACACGTTTCCCTTCGACCTGTCTGTGGGGAAATACATAAAAATGGTGCTCGTTCGTGTACGTTGAATTGTAATTTCCCTCCCACGCGTCGGCGACGCTTCGCGGAACGGTCGCGAACAAAATAATAATATATTTATAGTACGTTAACGAATTCGATTTTTGCAGAGGAGTACGAGAAAAACACGATAAGAATTGTGCGAGAGTGGCGGCGACGCGCTGCCCGGTTTTTAGCGTAACTCTTTAAACGGATAAGAAAGGTCATTAATAGTGTAAAAATACATCAATATTTATTGTACATAGATCTAAAAAAAAAAAGTACTAACAAATAAAAAGAGATCAAAAATATGTGCAGAGACTCGCGAGATTTTGCTGATCGGCTATAGCTCTGTGGATGGACCGGATTCGCACGCGCTCTCACAATTTTTCGATACACCTTCTTCTCGCGTCCCCCTATCGCCGTGTCATCTTTTTCTTCTTCTGAAACGAAAACGAGGACATTTGCATGACGGCGTAGAGTCGAGGACGGCGAGAAGGGGTCCCCCTCCGCCCTCGCCGAAGGACCATCGATCACCTTGATTTTCTCGTCTTTCTTCTCCTTCCTTCTCGCCTCTTCTTCTCAGCATTCGCCAGATCGATGTATTTCTTTCTCTGCTCCGGAGTCATTTGCGTCCACAATTTGCCAGCTGCTCGCGCGATTACGGTTACATGTTCCTTCGGCTTTTTACTGCGCAACCGTAAGAAGAAAATGATGAAAGGATTCGTTCCCCGATACTCGACGTTCTCTTTCCTGCTCCCTTTCCGAGGCTCGTACCTCGTCCTGCAAGGTTTAGCAGCCCTCTATCCATTATTTCCGGTCATCTACGCTACCCAAAATCAAGAAATGTAACTTTTAAGTGAAATAATTGCTTCGGCAATTCGGATCCGACACGGCTCGAAGCGAGCTCGAAATGTTCTTACCCGTCGGCCTCGTCCTTCTTCCGGTCTTTTCGCACTTTCGACGGTTGCGTCGATCCCGAGTTTCCCATTTTATCGCGAGCCTGATCGATGCGTTTCTAGCGCGGTGATAACATTACTTGTGAATTTTACGTCCGCGCCTACTTTTCTACCGGAAAAACCGTGCGGAGAAAATCCTGGCCGAGACGTCGACGACGGAGGAA